AAATCAAGGAGCATGATGCGTCCAGTTTTGTTCTTCTTTCTCAAGATTACTTGGCCTATTTGGGGGTATTTTGTACTCCCATGCAAGATTTAGGAGTATTTGTTCTATATCTTTGAAAAATGCCATTGGAATTTTCATAGGGGTTACACTGAATCTGTAGATTGCTTCAGGTAGTATGGACATTTTAATGATATTCTAACTGAGCATGGGATATCTTTCCTTTTGGTTGTATCTTTTTAAATTGCTTTTGTTCATGTCTTACAGTTTTCAGTATACAGACCTTTCACCTCCTTGGTTTAATTTCTCCCTAAGTATTTCTTTTTGGATGCAGTTGTAAATGGGATAGTGTTTTTATTTCTCTTTCTGATAGTTCATTATTAGTATATAGAATTCAGTAGATTTTCGTATATTGATTTTCTATTTTGCAACTTTACTAAATTTGTTTATTAGTTATAACAGAGGAAGGAACTCTTCCAAACTCACTTTATGAGGGCACAATTATCCTAATACTAAAACCAGACAAGGATGTCACAAGAATATTATAGGCCAATATCTCTGATTAACATAGATACAAAAATTCTTAACAAAATATTAGCAAACTGAAGTAGTCAAAAACAGTAGATTAAAAGGATCATACATTGTGATCAAGTGGGATTTATTCCAGGGTTGCAAGAATCGTTCAGCATCTGCAAATCAGTCACTGTGATATACCACATCAACAAAGTGAAGGATAAAAATTATATGATTATCTCAGTAGAAGCAAAAAAAAAAACAAAACATTTGCCAGAATTCATCATCCATTTATAATAAAAACTCTCCACAGATTATATATAGAAGAAATGTACCTCAACATGATAAAGGCCATATATGACAAAACCACAGTCAACATCATACTCAATGGTGAACAGCTGAAATCTTTTCCTCTAAGGTCAGGAACAAGACAAGGATGTCCACTTCACCAGTTATATTCAGCATAGTACTGGAACTCCTAGCCAGAGCAATTAGGCAAGGAAAAGAAATAAAAAGGATCTAAATTGGAAAGGAAAAGGTAAAACTTGTCACAATTTGCATGGTATGACATGGTATTATATGTAGAAAACTCTACAAAGATCTCCATCAAGAACCTGTTTGAATTAATAAACACATTCAGTAAAGTTGTAGGGTGCGAAGTCAGTCTACAAAAATCTGTTGTGTTTGTGTACATCTCACATTTAATACAGGGATAATAGTCCATTCTCACAGGTTTGTTATGATGATTATATGAGAAAGGTACCTGTAAAGCCTTGAGTACAGAGTCTCGTCCAGAGTAAATGGCCAGGGATGGGAGCACCTGTTAATTTCCAGGGAATGTTACCTTAAGTTAAAGGAGATGAGGGACATGAAGCGCATTGTAAGCTTTAAAGTGTGACACAAGTGCCATGTGTTATGAAATTCTTGAAACCACCCAGCACATGGGTGGGTTCTTTCACCCTCAGGGGAAGAATCCTGAGGGAGGTCAGGTATTACTTGGGATAAGGTGGGCTTCAAGTTCCTTTTCAGTTTCTACCTGATTTCGTGGGCTTCAAGTTCCTTTTCAGTTTCTACCTCATTTCCGGGGGCAGTCAGAGCACCTCTAGGGGAAATCTACCCCTCAGGTGGTCCAGAATCTAAGGGGAAATTCTGGTGATACAGATGTGGGTGGGCCTTAATTTAGCTCTGATTTTGCTTAGTCCTTGGTGGCCAGTTGGTAGCAGGGATCATGGGAGATGTGGAAGTGGCTCCAGGGGAGGCCTGGGTCTGTGCTTCTGGCACAAGGTAGTTTGGCAGACTTTCTTCTTGACCTCAGAACCAAGGACTGTAGTTTGATAACATTGGCATAGGCAATGAAAATATCTAATGGTTACTGGGTCCTTATTGCAGGCAGGGTTGTATGCTAAGTGCTTTATAGACTTTTATATTGAAATCTCACAGTCCTAGGAAGTAGGTACTATTATTATCTCCTTTCTGCAGATGAGAAAATTGAGACATAAAGTAATTTGCCAAGGGTCATGTTTCTGCTAAGTACGCTTGGATCCTGGTCTTTCTCATTCTGATGGTTTGAGCTCTTTTCTTTTGTTCTTAGTGGTCTTTACATTTAGCTATGCATTAGAATCTCCAATGAAGTTCATTGAAATTCCTGCTTCTTGGACCCCAATTCTGTAGGTGTGAGGTCGAGCCTGGCACTGTAGTGTTTTTGTTTTTTTCCCAGATTTATTTAGGTATAACTTACATAAAATAAAATGCACCCATTTTAAGTGTTTAGTTTGATGTAATGTAGTAGTTGTATACAATCGTCTCAGTATTACCACAGTCAAGATACAGAACATTTCCATAACCCTAAAAAGTTTCATTGTGCCTTTTGACCACCTGATTCGTACAGTTTCAACCAGCTAGGCCAATGGTTCTGACACACAGGTGGCGGACCACTGTACTGTGTTATGGTGTCTGCAAATGTGAGGAACTGAATGCCTAGAGAAGGAAGATAAAAGTGAAAAAAAGAAAAAAGATACTTGGAAAGAATGGTTGATTTTACTGTTTCCAGATAAGCTATGCTGTACTGGCTCCCTGTGGAGAGATGGAGTGTGGAGAAAAGAACTTTCTAGACCAAAAGCAGTTAAATAAAAACAGTTTCTTTTCCTAACATGGTTTCTTCCTGAGCCACATAAAGCTGAAGAATTCTGTACAAATTTGGTGTGGATGGCTGGGCAGATTGCTTTGGATGGAGAGTTGGGGCCACTAGCTACAATTGGTGAGCTGTGGAGAAGCCTTGGGTGTGGGAAGGCGGGCCTAAGATACTGTTGCTGTGCAGTTCAAGGATGGGACCTCTTCCCCACCAGGCAGACACCAATTTGGTTCCATTTGATTTTCCTCTGCTGCAAGAATCCAATAGCATCTCTTCTTAATCTGAAGTTCAGTCAGGAAAATTAGCCTAAAGCAAATAGTTTCAGACTGTGGCCCAAAGAACATTTGGATAATAAAGTAGAAAATATAAAATGTAGCTCTGAAATTAGAGAAGGTTAGGGTGGGAACTTTGTGCCAGGAATCTGGAGACTTTGATTCTTGACTCAGCTCTGTTCCTGATTTTGTTAGATGACCTTCTCTGAATGTTCTCTGTACCTCTGTGGATACAGTGAATGGTTAATAAAGTGTGTAGGTAGCAATATGGTTTTAGCACATACATTGTAGTGACATTGGGTTAGCACAGCAAAAGTAGGTTGTGAAGGAAGTGCTGTAAAATTTTTATATTGACTGTGGAATGAAATCTGTATATACTCAGCTGTAAGTATTTCCTTTTCTGACCTTTTTCTTTTCTCTCTGGTTTATTAGATGTGATGTTCCCCCCTTTCCTGTATGGGAAAATGGTCAATAAGGGTATAAAGGTGTAAAAGAAAGACTTATCTTATTCTTATGCTCCTTTTATGAATCACCCAGTTGTCTTCCTGGTGGATGTCTGCACTCTGGCACGGATTCTGGGATTCAGTTTCCTTGTTTGTGGTGTTAGCTTCTCCTGGTCCCTGTGATTCACCTCGAGAGGAAATATCTGGAGCCGAGCCACAAGGCTGATTAGAGGAGGAAGGGACAGAGGGAGAAAGATATGAGGGGTGTTATTGTGAAAGGAAAAAGTGGTGATCTAGGGCTGTAGCATGTAAATAAAATAACCCAGACTGCATCTCGTTTGAGAAAGAGTGAGTTGGGGTAGTGGCCTCATCTAAGAGGACACTGAGGTGTCAGTGGGAGATAATCTTTGAGAATAACACCTTACCAGTTTCCATTCAGGGTCTGTAAAAGTTACTTCTAGTTTCTGTTACCTCAATGTGCCTCCCCTTCCCCCGTTCCACTGTTTCAAGGCTTTGTAGCAATGAAGAAATTCAACAGGTCGAAATTTTAACAGTCATAGAATAAACAGTCATGTCTCCTGCTTTCACATACATTATGTTATCCTCCCTGAAGACCTCTACAAAATATTAAGAGTCTAGTAAAAATTTCTTCTTAAACAGTCTTACAGATGAACAAACAAAATGGAACATTTAAGGCATTTTTTGAATCGTGTGATTTTAGAGCTGAAAGGGACCCTGGACTGATCCTGTGTTATAGAGGAGGAGGATCTGAGGTTCAAAGTGGGAAGAAGACTTGGCTGAAAGTCGCTCAGCTAGCTAGTGGTAGCAGAGATCCTGAAAAGCCTAGGTTTGACCTGGATGGTTTGACAATAGAGGTGCTCATGTATGATTTAGAATAGAGATGCTCATGTATGATTTTTCTGAGTCATTAAGGAAGCTTCTGAACCCATTTCTGTGGCTAACCAATCAGTAGTGGCAATTTGCCTCAATTTCCATTAAGCCTCTTGACTGTGGCTAGGAGACACAGACTGCCCTTCTGCCTTCCCAAGATGATGTTTTAGAGTTAAGAAAGTCTAAATTGAAGCTCAGCAGCTGGAGATTACAGGGTACAGGCGATCTTTGGCTGGAGATGGGGGTTCAGTGGGAGACTGACTAGTTGGAGCCACAGTTTCATTTAAATTTCAGTGCTTTGGGCAGATACTTCAGTGTTGTGCAATGAAATTTGTGGTCATTCAGTACCGTGTAGGGAAATCAACATGTGCAGTGTTCATTTTGATGGCTTCACTGCAGTCATCTTTGGCCCCTGGAGGCAAAATAGGGTTGGTTTCCATTTCACCTATGTCTACTGTTCCCTTTATAAAATTTCTCTCCACGTTCTCAGAGCTATCAGACTCTTTCCCCCCTAATTTCTCTCCATCTGTCCGACTGTCAGAGCTACTGTAGATTTTGTGAGGAGGAATCAGAACGTGAGCTGTGACCTATAAGCTGATTTCCCCAGGTGGATATACTCCACTGCAAGCCACAGAGGGGCCTCCTCATTCCAGCAATCCGGCCGGGCTGACGGACTTGTAGCCTATGGGGGCAGGGGTGGGGTTGGAGGGCGGGGGCCAGTGTTTCTTGGGCTAGTGAGGAACTGCCTGAACGTTTGCAGCGTAGGCACAGGAGGCGGGAGCCCCCCGGGGTGAGCTAGTCTCCAGAGCTGGGGATGCCTAGGCAGATGTGGAGGCAGCTGGAAAGGTGGCACCGCACTTGGGCCGCTGGAGCTGCGCTGTTCCTAGGAGACGGAGGAGCAGCAGCGAGCCTGCGGGGGAGGGGGAGCAAAAGGGTTGCTGCGTTTAGCAGCTGAAAGGGCTGCAGGGAGCTCTGGGTAAGACATTTTCTGCTGCTGCCGCTTCTGCGGTAGAAGCTGCTGGGAGTAAGTCAGAGGAAGGAGGATCGAGAGGGAGGAGGCTTCATTTGCAGCCATGCTGAATCACTGTTGCTGATCAGATCTCCTGTTGGTTGGCTGGGAGAACCGAGAACAGAGCTACGATCTCCGGGTGCATGCACAGTTCAGCGGCTACCACCCCGGCTGGGCCTCGCACAATGGAGGGTGAAAGGTACGTATGTATTAAATGTGGTGTGTGTGTGTGTGCACGTATGCTTGTGGTGCAGCTACTAGCTTTTGTATCTGCATTGGCTAGGCTGGGTCGGAAGACCTCCCTGCCGATGGATCCGGGCAGACAGCAGAGTCAGAGCAGGGAAGCCCCGTTTTCCAGAGATCTGGCTTCCGCAAAGGCAGGTCTGGGTTTGCCGGGCAGTGGAGCACCCTGAAAGAAGGGACTTCCTGGTGGTGTTCGGGTATAGTTTCAGCATGGGCTGAATCAGGATTGTCTTTCTCAGGCTCTTTCAAGGAGGCGTTTCCCTTTCTTGACTACTTTCCAGGGGTGGTTTTTCTTTGGTGGGGGGTTTCTGATGTCACAGCAGGGCTGGCCTGGCATGGAGTGCTTACATTTTCACACTGAAGTGCTCAAATCTTTAGCTAGCATACCACGCTCATGTCTATTCTAAAAAGGTGTGTGTGTGTGTGTGTGTATGTGTGCGCGCGTGTGCCTATATGCACACACAAGTTCATATAAGAAGGAGAGAAACCCTTCAGATGATACTTGGTCTGAACTGATGTTCATTTTCATTGAAAAGTTTTTGAATGATACTGGAAGGTATGTGCTTTAGAGGAACTCTTGCTCTGTCCATCAGGGGTCCCTTATGAAATAGGAATAAACAGAAGGGAATTTAAGTACCTCTGTTGAGCTGGATATAACTAGTGAGAGTTTATTTTCTGGCAGGCACGTGCGTATATGCATTTTAAACTATTATCTGAGGATCTGATTCTTTTATTTCAGAGGTACTCTATGCAGTGCCGGGGTGGGTCATTCTTCTGTGCTAAAACGTCTCCTCCTGTTGTGTCAGCTTTTTGGTTCTGTGGGTCTGCGGCTGGTAGAGAACAAGGCTTGCCATTTTTCCTGAGATGAGGAGACAGCATGGAGCATTAGGCAGGGAGCATTAGGCAGGGAGGGGTGAGGTGTGGCAGTGCACCATTGCGGGGGTGGGGGGAGTGCTGCTTTGAGTTGCAGGTTTGATGCAGATGATAACTGGCTGGTTGAATGGTAACAGGTTCATCTAACTCAGCACTGGTTTGTACCTCAATAAACACTTTCTTTTGCACGTATTGTCTCCACTGGTGCATCTCATGGGGCAGAATGATGCCATTAAACATCTCTAGACCCTGTTAAAATTGGCATGATTGTTGGGTGTCTTCCTGTCTGAAGAGGCCCCAGGGACTGCATTTCTCCCTGTGACTCCCGCAGGAAGAGTCTGGGACTTTTTGGTCTGAGTGTGCTGCTGATGCAGCTTCTCCCTCAGCAGTTTTTGCAACAGGGGCTTAGTGTTGGACTCTGTGTGGCCTGCTGGGCAAGAGAGCATCCGGAGGCCTGTTTCCTAGGCTGGGAGCAGAGATGGGTAGTGTCCTCACCTTCTGTTGGTGTGATAGTTAGTAGAAGGGCAGGGGCGAGGTGAATCGTGGTTTAGAGATTCTGGATCAGGCTCATTTACTTGACTGGTGGTGTGTGGGGGCTGAAAGGTCCTTGTGAGACTAGCAGTAGCTGATCAGGTACTGCTTCCTGAGCATTTTTGGGCATCTTCTGTTTTTAGAAATGTAATGAGTCTTTGCCCTCTAGGAGATCTCTTGTTCTTCGATGCTCTGGTGCCTCTCTGCTGGGAAGGCTGATGTCCTGGGCTTTATAACACCTGCTTTTTGCACATGTTCTTTTGTCTTTCCCCTACTGGAGGCAGAGAGTAGTCAAGAAATACAAATTGAGCAGCTTCCAAGGTTCACCATGTCACCCAGGTCACTACCGTTTGTTTCCACTTCACGTCCAGCTCACCATGTCAGGCATTCAAGTCCTCTGTAATCTGGCTCAGTCTGCATTCACTCTGCTTACCCATACCCCCACCAAGCAATCTTTTGGTCTGTTTTGTGACCATACATCCTGTATACTGCTCCATCCAGCCCCAGATCCTTAGCTCCTGGAGTTCCTTTTGCCTGGAATGCCCTTTCCCATCTTCTTTTCCTAAAGTTATCCATCTAACAAGGCTGTTTTAAATTCCTATTTTGTGTTGGAAACCTCAGCTTTTCTAGTCCCGGGTGATGTTCTTCTGAATTCCAGTACCTCAGGTTTGTGTCCATAGTTGGATATGGAATAATAGGCCCACCCACCAGGTCTTTTTGTGCTTTTGTTTCATGTGTCTTACAAGCCCCCAGACTCAGAGACATGTCTTCAGGGGGTAAGGATGGTGCCACTCTGAACACTCCTCACTCATCGCTGTGCGGCTGCATGCATAGTAGGTGCTGCCTAATTGTTTGGTGATGAACTGATAACTTTTGTGGGAAGCAGTGATAACTAAGAGGAAACTTGGTGAGAGAAGAGATTGAAACCTTTGGCCAATAGGTTCATCTTTGGCTATCGGCCTTATTATCTCAGCACGGGTCATTGACCCTATGGAATGCTTTTGTAGGCCGAGAACAGGGGAAGTAGCCTGGTTTTACAAGTTCCCTGGGAAAGCCAGGGTTGGAGAAGCTGAGTGACTAGCCTAGGATCACATGTCAAACCTCCAGCAACTGGAGGAATCCTGAATGTGTGCTTGTTCCGCACTTAACCTGCTGAAGCTTAATTGGCTGTTTTTAAGCATTAAGATTTTTTCAGCCAAGAGATTTCTACTGAACAATTTTCTTTCTTTGCCATGAGGTTATGAAAATAACTTCTCCCTTAAAAGGCTATTAATTGAAAGCCTGGGATTTAACACAGGCCTTGCAGTGAATCTCCTTTATGAACCGTGTGACCTTGAGTGTGTCACATTTAGTCATAGATAATTTTTCTTTTTGGTATAAAGGGAGTAATAACAGTATCTGTACCTCATAGAGTTTTTGTGAGGATCAAATGAGGTAATATATATATATAAAGCATCTAGTAAAATGTCTGTGGCACAGACTAGGTACTAGGTAAATAGTCGTTGTTTTATCTTTGGTGTTCATCTATTGCCCTGGTGTACCCCATGACTCGTGCTGGGATACTAACCAAAGCTTGTTTTAAGGACTTTCTATGTTTATCATCTAAAGCAGCCTATGTGGGACTTTCCCCATGAGAAAACTGGGGAGAGCTTATCAGGATCCTTCTCTTCTACCTGAACCATCCATCTCCTCATAGTGAGATACCACACGGGGCTTGGCATTTCCTCTGCTAGTTTTCACCAACACCTACCTTAATCCTCCTTTTTATAGACTTCCTGTGGCATCTGGATGCCTTTAGTGGTTTGGAACTATGAACCAGATACACTTGTGTTCAGTCAAAATCTCAAGAACGTATGAGTTTGCACACACCTTTGCTGTATCCCCCAAGCTCTCCAGCTCCCTAAGGGACCTGCTGATGCTGAGATTCCCATCTCCCTTTGTGAAGAATCGCTGTTTCTTGATCAGTCACAGGAAGATGACTCTGCATTCTGTTTTATGAAGGGAAAGGGTCTCTGGCTCTCAACTACTACAGTGATAAATTGTGTGTATGTATGGGTATGTGTGCTTGTAGAGCAGATAGACATTGAAAATGGCAGTTGCTCTTGCTCTTAGGATTTTATTTCAGTTCTGGAAATCAGTCTTGTGGGCTGATCAGCCTTGTTATACTCTGGAAACGTATGTGTTGGTGATGGTTGCACAACAACATGAATGTATTTAATGTCACTGAACTGTATCCTTAAAAGTGGTTAAAATGAAAATTTCATCTTGTGTATATTGTTACAGTTTAAAAAATTTTTTTCCAGGGATGTCTGGCTGGCTCAGTTGATAAAGCATGTAATTCTTGATCTCAGGGTTGTGAGTTCGAGCCCCACGTTGGATGTAGAGATTACTTAAAAATAAAATCTTCAAAAAAATTTTTTTCCAGGCTCAGTGTCTGATATATCTGCAAGATTTGCAGAGAACAACTTTCGGAAGAGGCATAACACAAAGGGGAAACTAGTTGTCCATTTTTCCTAAAATTGTGGTTTTCTTCATCAGAAGCACTGGTATGTACCTGCTTGAGAGGGGCACCATGCACCCAGCAGTATGCCATGAATTTGTGGGAGCAATTTGCAGGAGAACGGCTCATCCTTATGAAAGAAAGCCTGCTCCTTCTCAGGGAACTTCAGAACCAGAAGAGATTTTTTTCACCCTTGATCCACGAACAGATCATATTTTTTGAGAAGACATGACTTAGCTGATAATTCTTTAAATGCTGAGATTGTCATTGCCAGGTAAGATACTAGCAAGACCCCCCCCCCCCCAGAGAAGAGGCAAGTATTGAATACCCTTGTCTTTTCTCTCTTCCCACAGCATTCCTTGAGTCCTCTCCCACTACTAGTAGTCATGGATAGAAACTTGTAGAAAATTCTGGGCATCACTGCTGCCTGAAGCAGATGTGCATTTCAACCATGATAATTGAAACCAAATTTTCCATTTTGGAAATATTTGTTGGTGAAGTAAGGTTTTTGACTGTAAAAAACCAAGTCACTGAAGCCACTTGATTTCCCCATACCCAGATTTGGGTTTTCAGGACTTTGCTTGTTAGGTTTTAGAATGTTCAGATACATGTAGACAGGAACATTTTTGGGGTTAGTTTTCTAAAGCAAGTGCTTTATTTGATGAAATTTGCCATTGTAGAAGTGACCTAATTCTTTTCAATTGCTGGATGAACCCTAAAACTAGGTTAGCCTGAAAAGAATATTAATAAACCATAATAAAAAATAACTTGAACATGCTTTATTCTTAGTTTTTTTCCTATTAAATAAGTTCAGTTGTTCTTAAGCTGGAAATTCTGTAACTTTTTAAAATCATTTATAAGGATTTTCAAACTCCCGGCACAACTTTCCTGGACTTTTTTTTTTAACTTAGCAAAGTCTCTTGAAGCTTTTATCAAGACTATACACTTGGAAGAGCTCTGCTCTTCTGTTGAACCCAAATAGAAGCTTGGCTCTCGAAATGCCACATAACAAGGGTTGTGTTTTCTTTTAGCCTCCCTCTCTCCTTGTGTCA